ATTTCATGTTTAAGTTTTCATTGATATACTTTTATAATTTTCTGCTCCATTGCCATTATTTTCAACACAAGGCACGTTATAGCAAGTTGAGGCCTTATTTATAAAAAGGGTAGATTAACAAAGCCCCTGTTTGGGCTCCATTGAAAATAGATTTCTGGAAAAATGTAATTTGAAATAGTGATTTTTTGGAGAATGTGTGTTTAAAGAATAAAAAAAAGTTTTGGGTTTACTTTAATTTTATTGGAGAATGTATGGTTGAAAACAAGAAAAAGAAAAATGTATTTTTTTTTTTAAATGGAACTCAAAGTGGGGCAAAACATGTCCTAGTGGGAATTACAATTAGAACAAGTCAAAGTCGTGAAAAAAGAAGCATGCTAAATGCTATGGTTGTGACAGGAAAGAGCATCTCAAAAGGAATTGTTGGCTTAACTAGAAGAGAGTAGATAACAAAGCTTCTGAGACATCAAAGTCTCAGGGTTGATTGCAAGTACCGCACAAAGATAGTTAAGACTGTTGCTGAAGGTAGAAAGCAGTTATACTGACATCTGGCTTTTAGATTCAGAAGCCACTTTGGCACATTACCTCTCGATGAGAATGGTTTCACAAACATAAATCTGTCTTTGGAGGATTTCTATTTATGGGGGATCATGCCTTGGAGATTGCTGACATTGACACCATCAAGATAAAGATGCATGATGGTACAATTTGCACTATTCAGATGATCATCAATGCAATGCCCATATTGAAAGTGGAACCATGAAGATTGTTATGGAGTGCTTGTTAATTTCAAGAGGTTATCTATTGCAGGCATTGATTCATGGTTTTAACATGCATTATTACTCCATAGCCATAATTATTGGAAGAATGATTAAGAGAAGATGCTTCTGAAATGGACAGATGGATTGGCCCTGCAGCAGTTTGATGACCATTTGAAAACAAATGCGCAAACATTTGAATGAGCAAGAATTACAGAAAAATCTAGTTGGTGAGTATAGTGGATTAGAAACATGAAAGAAGAAGCATGAAATTCTTAGATATAATCTGTTAGTGAAGGGAACTTTTAAAAACCGAATGAGTTCTCTCATCAATCATTTAGTAAAGGGTCAGCTGGGAAAAGCTCAGTGCTTGTGAAGAAAATTCCTTGAATTTTGTGTTTTTCAGCTTATGTTTTGTTGCTTTGGGTCTTCACAAGCAATGCTGAAGTGGAGATGTATCTATCAGTATAGTCAGCATCCTTGATATTTTCGAGTTCAAGAACTGACTTGTGTAATATGATCGCTTTTCCACTCTATTGCACTCATTCAAGCAATTTCTGTTGTTTAGCTTCAAATTCATAGGAGATGGTACAATGAAAAGCAGTTCAGGAGGAGGATGAATTGCCTCCGGAGAAGTTGGGGAGGCAAGATACCAAGAAGTATGTCTCAAACTTGATGTTTTCTAACATTATTCAGCTGGCTTGGCATGACTCTTGAAAAGTCAAAAAGAGTTTTTGAGATTCAAAAGTAACTTTCCAATCTGTTCGGTTAATTTTACGATAGTGCTTTCTCTAGGTAGAAGAATTTTTAAAGAAAGTTGATCTAATGTGACTTTCTTTAAAAATACTTATGGAATAAGAAGTGTTTTTAAAAATTAATTTTCAAACAAAAATTCTGATAGTTTTTTCTAAAAGCTCTTCTATCGAAAGTAAAAGCAAAAGTAAGAACCATGCCAAATGGGCCCTCAATTCTCGAGGTTGCCAAAACTAAATTAGATGAATGGTTTTCTTTTTCTTGGATTCAATCAACATTTGTCATGTATTCCTCGTGTAGCATCGATTATGTTTCTACAGAATTCATTTAATTAAGATCAGTCCTTTGTGCTTGGAGTCGTGGGTCATTTTGCACTATTCATTTGCATTTTGAGTCGCTAGATCATGCCATTGGTACATCTTACGATTTAGTAGGGATTTTGTAAGTCCTAGTATGCCCGGTGTATTTGTACACAAGTTTTGATCTATATAATTTTACATTTAACGATTACAAAAAAAAATAAAAAAATAAAAAAAAATCTTTAATTTTCATTCATTTTTTTATCACGCATTCATGCAATATAATATTTTGTACGTAAATTTAAATTTTTTTCCTACTTTTTAATCACATTTTTTAAAAAATACTATTCAAAACATCATTTTCTTCTCATAATAGCCATCAAACAGAGGCGAAGTCTGACCTATGAAGTACGGGAAGCCAACTGTAATACTCAAGAGTAATTAATGGACTTGAATCTTATTTTCTCATGCAGAATCTCCAATGCCACTCAATTTTCTTGAAGGGTGATCAACCCTATTTTGAGATTGATCCAGGGGCGGATCCAGACAGTTCGAACTGTGGGATCAAATTTTTTTTTTCAAACAACGTATCATAAACAAAAAAGAAAAATTAGTTGTTTGTTGTTCATGTTCAGTGTTTGCACTTTGGAAAGAAATTGGTGGATTATACGATATATCTATAGACTAAAAAATGGATATGGATCATGTGATATGGATATAGATTTAGGATATGGACATTTTGAGGTAGAAAATTAAGTTTTCAGCAAAAAAAAAAAAAAAAAATGGGGGG